TGGCGGGGGGCGGCGGGCTGCTCTGGGGGCCGCGTTCTCCCGGAAACCTGTTCCAACAAAATATTGGGCGGCCCCAGCGTGACCTCTCAGAGTGAGCCCCTGTGTTTTCCACAGGTCAGCGGCACGCTGAAAAAGCGGGGATTTTTTTTATTTTGTTTTGTTTTTGCTCTTCTTTTTTTAACGAACGCCGGCCGTGCCGTGTGTTTTACGTGTCTGCGTAGGTCTGCGCGTACATGCGTACACATGTACAGAAAGTGTGTTGTATTTCATGGCATAAATGTGTGCCTGTCTCTAGATAATGAAATACTCACTCACGTGAAAGGGAACATCTAAGCCCTCCATCCATTAAAGTCTCGGCTATTTTGTTTTGTAAATTTGTTTTACGATCCCTTATCCTTGTGTCCAGGACGGATGTGCAGTAAAACGGAGCAGCTCTCTAATAATGTGATTGGCCGCTTGCTGAGAAAAGTTTATTGATAGCTACAGGGCTCTAATCTCCTAGAAACACAAGAGGCTCTTGCAGCCATTTAAGGGTAATTATCTAAACGGGGAAGGACAGCGAATTCCCTTTCCTTTTAACTCGACCCAATAAAGATGGTAGATTAGGGGCGTATAGATTATGAAATGAATTGATATAATAGACGCTTTATTAACTGATAAGCAACAGGATCTGATTGGAATGCATTCTCCTGCAATCAGCTCTGTACAAACACCTATGCTCCGCGCGCCTGGACGACGTACCCCTGCGGTATGCGCGCAGTAGGTATCATCGCGCCCGTGCGCTCGCCCCACTCGCGCTCGCACATACCCACGCTGAGCTGGGCTTTACGCCATGCCTCTATGTGAAGGCGATTTCTAGACGGCTGGCAGCGTACTCCACGCACTCTCCTAGAGAGGGACGAACGGGCGTAGCATGGACATATTAACCAACATATATCACATATGTCGAGCACAGAGCTCAGATACATTTAATTCCCCTTCCTTCCAGTTCCTGGTGCCTTCCGAAGGCTCCTGCAAGGCAGGGTGCAGCGACGCTGCCGCCGGCCCGGCCTCGAGCTGCGGCGGAGCCGGAGCCTCCCG